ACGAAGTTATTACGTAAGGAAATGGACCAATCAATTTCCTTATGCTTATGCGTTATGCTTTCTGCAAAAGTCTGTGCTCCGGCCATATGGCTTTGGTGAAGGTGACCGGGAGAGTTCGACCTTTCAACAAGAGGTGCGTGTTATATTGTGCGATTGAACGTAACGAAAGAGCTTTCCGTGATTTTCATCATCGTGCTGTGAAGTGATAAAAAAAGAATTGGCGCTTAGAGCCAGTCGTTGCGCTCACCGTTTGCTCCGACAATTCGGTGTTGGAATGTCCACAGTGAGATCGTCGCAACAATGAAATTATTCTTTGCGAATCACGCAGGTCTAATAGTGATTCGGCTGGATGCACACTATAATACACATTAATCCTTCACAGAGTTTCATATCGAGAATAATACTTTGCGTCGATTTTACACATAATTTTTCAAAAATATTTGAGGCATGATTAGCAAAACATATTTTCTGAAATTCTTTATCATCTGTATACTATTCATATATTTCCATAAATTTTTATACCATTTTTTTTCACAACTTAGATAAATTTATAAAAATTGCTCATTAAATCTATCTGACGTTCTTAAAATAAGGATGAAATTCTTAATTAGTTTATTTGTCAAAATTAATTCAGATTGCAAAGGATTGAGGTACACAAAATTCAGGAACAGTAAACGCAGCATATTGAACGTGTTGATTTCTGCAATCCCAAGCATGAGTTCCGCAAACAATGTGTTGGCATACATCTTTTCACATTATTCGTAGACGGGTGTATTTAGAGCGCATCAATGCGCATCGTTGCACCAGTTGAATTCGCCGCAAAGTCAACGGCTTGGTGATGTCTAAAGAATGTTTCAACTTCTCGTTCCTTGAAGCGTCCTTTGATGTATTCTAGATTTTCACGTTGTTTAGATCGTTGTTAATCGATATCCGCATTACGCAATTATTTTGCGGTCAATCTCTCGTTGACGATGTTGTTTCTCGATCTGTTACGGCATATCGATCATTGGCAAAAATTATTATGCAATATATGTATATGGTCAAGTGTGAAGAATGTTGCCGTGCGCGTACGCGATACTATAGCACCCAAGTCATCGTCAACAATGGATTAATCATTGTACGGATGATTCGATCTGCCCACTCTTATTTCTTGCACGATCGTCGCTGTCCCTGAAGAATCGAGAATAGAGAAAATTGGAGTTCAATACGTGAAGTAAAATAATTTTCTGGCCTTTTCTGAGACAATTTTGCTGACAGAAAAGTTTTTGTTTGTAAAAAATGTTTTCATAAATTTTGTCGTATATTAATTTTCTATTGAAATTTTATTTTAATTACTTATAAAATTTAAAATATAAGATTTTCAGAAGAATTTGAAGAGCCAATTTTGAACTTTAATTATCCTCAAAACTTTCAATTACGCTTTAAAAGAAAAATTGCACGCAAAAATCGGCAATATATTATCGGAGACATAAATGATCACTTATTTCAGAGAATTTTATTACGAAAATATTGGGAAAAGACGTTAGCTTAATTTTAACTTATGGTTAATCCTTTTCGAAGTAATAATGCTGAATTTAAATTTAAATAATACACGTGACAATCTTGTCATATCGTCCGTCTGGGAAGATTGATATCATAAAATGTTTTACACTAATAATATTTTTTGCATTAATGATATCGAATATTATTTGCGATTAGCGAGGAGTGAGAATTTTGCAACAATGTTCTCTTCAATTCGAAAACAATCCAATTGAATTTAATTATTTCGTCACCCATACAAAAGTCAGAGAAGTGTCAGTGACACCAAACCACCTCCTTATATTGAATAGATGTTATTGACAGCACACGACACAATTATGTCATCGTGGTATCGACTGGTGTGCGGCCGATGAACGACGTCGTGCGCGCATCTCGGCCGATTCCAAATTCGGTCTGAAAGTATGCGAATCACGAACCGTTCCGTAAACGTCGGAAGAGCTTGTTACACCGGATATAACGGCATACTATTGTCTCTTTGCAGGAAGGTGGCGATGAACGAGAAGCTGATCGTGCAGATGGACGGCAAGAGGACGCGGGATCTTCAACACCAAGGTAGATGCGCCATCCTGCTCAATTTTTTTCTCAACGAAAATATCGAGGCATTGCTAGTCCTTGAATTGCGAATTATTGAGCTTAATGCTATTGAAATTTTTTGCGGATTATGTTCCAAAAACGCAATTAAATTTCAAGTAAATTTTATTGCAATGACATTTTTAGTCACGGTTCCAGTTAATCAATCATAGTGAAATTTGACATTTACTCGAGGTGCAATTTATAAATTACTGAATGGCACGGATCGTGAGTTCGAGAGCTATAAATGTAGTCGCTAGATAAAACGCGTGGGCGGCTACCAACCTGTTGTACGAGGGACACATCTTCGGTGCTAAAAACGGTAGTCACATATTTGCGGTTCCGTTCTATGTTTATAAATTGAAGGTCTGCCTGTGATGCAAACGTGTTTACGAGTCCGCTCGTTATATCTCCTAAAGTGTCATACTTGACATTTCACGCGGATATATCATGATCGGCTGACAATTTTCCGTCTTTTGATGGTATTTCAATATTGCAATGTCAAAAATACTTTAAATTTCAAAAATTTGATCTGTTTATTATTTATAAATATCAATTTAAAGATAAAATTGTGTCGAATTGTGCTATATTTTACTTCAATAAAATTTCTAATATTAGAAATTTATTTGAAATAAATAGAAAACTTGACGTGCAAAATTATATTAATAATATTATTAATTGCACAGTGGTTAGGTACGTAAGGACTTACTTTAGGCGAGCATTAAGGACTAATTGTTAAATGGATTTCTTATAAGATTTCTGCGCCGAAGTCTTTTCTTTCGCGTTAGCTTGCACAATGTCACAGTGCGAGTTCAATATCATAATTTCCGCTCGAATGGATTGCCAAGCCGTAATTACCAATTGGCTCTTGATCAGTCGGCTTCTGACAAGCGCCTTCGAGATCCAGACGAAAGCGGAGACATGTTTTTTTTCCCTTTCAAGCAAATCATTAAAAAAAAAAGTTACACCGGTCTTTTAAATTAGAAAATATTGCAGATAAATCAGAACAATGATTTTTTTAGTATAAATTGGGAAAATTTTTTTTTAATTATTATTGAAAATCGAGAGTTTTATGAACTAATTATAGGAAAAGTTGTAACATAAAATATAATGACTTACATTCTTATTATCTTTAATTTATGTGGGAAATATCTGTAGAATTATTTGTGAGACAAAAAAGTGTCTAAACCGTTAGCTGGACATCTCTTTACCGGTGATTATCGGAATTCCACTGAAGGATAACGGCATGCGTTGAGGAGAAAGTGCAAATATTGTGATTGGACCGCAATACAATGTGTTGCTCCGCGATTTCGCATCGAATAACGCAATTGAGAGCGATCGTCGTCGCTGCGCGCCGCGTTGAATAATCCACATTTTATTCGTGTTCAATTAATCCTTATCCGCATAAGCGCTTTCTCTTTCTAATCAAAAAAGAAGGCCAATCCTGTCGGAGAAAATTCGCTTATTTGCCGAGAAAAATTCTGGCGAATGCGAATTAAATCGCAATCTTAGTTGGCGAAAACGCGCTTAATCGAGTATGATAAAAGTCGAGTTAATTGCTCTTCGCGAATTAATAATACAATTAACTTTTGAACTGTATACGATGAATATTGAGACATGGCCTCATATAAGAAATATTTAAAAAATTATATATTATATATTTTTTAGGCGTGCAAAAATGCATTATTGTACTTTTTAAATACTAACCAGTCAGATTTGCCAAGATTTATGAAAAATGCATAGATAGTTAATTTTTCAGATTTACATGTGCGTTGCTGTGACGTCCAAAAATTTGCATATGTATGCATTGCAAATTAATGGATCGCTTTTCGATCATACTGCGCGCGTGCATTCGCTGCAGAAAGTTAACAAAGTAGCGAAATCGCAAAAGAGAGATTGACATGAAAATTGCGCTGATTTTACTTTTTAATCGCTTTACCCTTTAATCATCGCTCGTTTCCTTGCATAATGCAGCGCGATGTTCCCACCGATTGTTTCATCAATTATGTAGAACACAGCTGGAAGAATGTAGACGTCACATCGTGATTACTGTTTCACCATATTTTGCAAATAATCGCAAGTCAGACGATTTAAAGGACGGTCGATAGCTTTATGAAAATAAAAAAAGACAATGTCAAGAGAGTAGCTAAAAAACAGTAAATTTAAACACAAATTATACAGTTTTGCATCTTTTGAATTTTCAATATTCTTTACATATATCAATCAATTGTAAGATTTTAATTGAAACTTGATAAAAATAAAATTTTCTAGAAATTAATTAGAGAATATAATTTATTTGTCCCACTAAAAATTAATTTACGAGTTCTTTTTCAATCGCCTACAACTCGATAATATCAATGCCTCGACATTTTCGCTGAGAAAAAAATCCATTTCTAAATTAGAAAGAATTGGTCATTCAAATGACATTCACGAGTTTCGGAATATTTTATACAATTCAATTGTGAGTATAATCTAATGTAATTTGCATAGTCCAATTTATTTGTATTAAACATGATTGCCATTTATCTGGTAGATTAGCCACTGCTATTCATTCGACTTTAATTTGATTAATAATAACTGAACTTTAATACTAACGTATAGTGATAATGAAACAACGCTGTCGGGAATAACGGTTGTCACTTTATTGTTTACAGACACCGGATAGCTGCAGAGATATCGACCGTGGAAAATACAAAGACTTCACGTTCGATCATTCCTACTGGTCCTTCGACCCGAAAGACAACAATTATGCGTCTCAGGAAGAGGTTTGTGTCCATTTTTCCCATCTCAAAGGGAACGAAATTGAAAAAAATTATTCGGTCGAAATTTTCCGAAGTTAAACATAGATTAGTCGACCTTGAGACGCGTTGAAAAAATATTCGCGATAACGTTCTTTTGCACATGGAAAGTTTAATTCGATCATCTTGCACTCGCACAGCCCGTTGTAGTTAGTTCAGTTGCGCCGATAGTGAATCAGGATCGGAAATAAAACGTTGCGAGATCGCGTGTCGAACACCATTGTCGTAAGATCGTTCTTGCTGACGGTGCAATTCGAACGACTGCGCGTAATGATGCAGCAGGAGCTCTAAACATTTCCAGCGAACGTTACGATTCTTTTCCTAAGGAATAAAAAGGAGCTGTCTAAGCAACATAGAGTACAAACCGAACAATCCTGTTACTGTTTAAAGTACAATATGCGATCACAGTAACAATCTTTTCTTATCGTGTTTGTATCATTACGTAAAACTAGTGTGCGCCGCAACTTAATTAAATGCCATTATGTAAAATGTTCGTGTGTGATCATTACGCCAATGGGTGACGCGTTTGCACGCGGGCACGTTTTATGGGAAGGTTGAGCGTGGAGCGACAGTGATGCTGATAAGATTGATTTCCGCGTATCGTTCAAGCGAAACACCGCTCGTCCATTCATGGAAAAAGAGGGCGCTATTTCTTCTGTTATTTTTGCTCTTTATTTAGGTTTTTTACGATTTTGGTACGGATGTAATAGAAAGTGGTTTTGATCGTGCCACGATAACGGGCTCTTCTTTTATTCTGCTCCATGCTGTTTTGATCGCCGGTAAAATGCCAGTACCGCGCCAATCATGGTATCGATATTGATAAGAATTCGTCGCTAACGTTCGTTTTATTGCTATCTGCGCGAATACTCTTCAGTATCCTTTTAAAACGTCTTGACGCCAACTTTTTGATAATATCTGTGAGATAATGAATGTATTCAGTGGAAAATTAATGGATTGTATCCAAGAAAATCAAGGTATCAAGATGTTGAAATCTTACAATTTGCCATAAATTGTTGAATTTTTGCATTTATAAGCAGCAGAATCCTCAAACATTTTATCTTCGATATTTTAATATTTCTCTCATTATATGATTCGATCATTGTTAATTAAAATGTTCTAGTACATCATTACAATCAATCAGCAATGTTAACATCTTAATAATATTTTGTTGTATTAGAATCGCAATTGTGTGTTGCAATTAAAGAGAAATAGGTTTTCATTCTTAGTCGAAGGATCTCTGACAGAATTCTTCGTTCAATATCTTATCGAACAAATTATTATAAGAACACACAAGTTTCAAAAATTATTAAACTTTATTTTAAAAACAATATTAAAGAGTTAAAATACAATATTGAAATTATAGCAAATAATTGTAACAGAGAACACGTGATTTCCAGATATGGAAGTATTATAGATATGAAATGATTTTCATATTTGTACATAATAATAGAAATATGACAATACGGTATATTGTAATTTTTAATAATAAAAATTTAATTATAATAATTTTATTGTATAATTTATTGTATTTTATCACAAATCTTACAAATAAAAAAGACAACTTTTCCGAAACCCGGGATTGAACCGGGGACATTTAGATCTTCAGTCTAAAGGTGTTGTGTGTGTAATCGCGAACTGTTGTCTTTTTTATGTGGACGTCTGTTCGCGAGCAGCTCGCAAGCTTCGTTCGTTAACAGTAGATCAATTAATATTTTTTTCATTTGTTTGGTTGCTGTTTGCGAGCAGTTCGCGAAAAATCAACGAACCAAACATATCGGTGTAGACGTATCTTTGGCGATTAGTGAATTAGCAATAATATTCAAATTAAAATATTCAAATTCAGTAACTGACACTCGACAAAAATTTTTGATACCGATTGAATCCTCCATTTTTAAATCGGCCAGAAATGTTGAACCACTATTTCTGTTTTGAAATCATTTTCAATAGTGTCGTTTGTATCTCTTTTTGCCAGTATATGCATTACAACAAAACTTGCAGATAGTAATAACTGATCTTGAGCACTCATTTTTTTGTAACTTTTTACAATAATTATATTAATATACGTTTAAAAATTTTCGCTGTGCGTCAAGCGATGGAACGATGGCGAACATTCGACGAACTGGTTCTCTAAAAACGTGAAACATTGGTGTGGACAGTACGTTCAATTTTTTTCATGTGTTCGTAAACTGATCGCAAACTTTTTCCACGAACTGTTCGCGAACTGTTCAAATAATAGAGGTTTGTTCTTTATAGCTGAACTGGCTGTACTAGTTCAGCTATAAAAAACAGACCTTATGTTTGTTCTTCATAGCTGAACTGGCTGCACTAGTTCAAAGTTTATCTTTCTTCTTCCAAGGTGGAGGAGAAAAGATAAACTCTGAACTAGTGCAGCCAATTCAGCTATAAAAACAGACCTAATGTTTGTGATCAGTTTGCGAACAGTTCGTCAACACGGTTCGCGAACTTTTCGCAAACTGTTTCTCGGTCATTGACACATCATGAAGACACACCTTAACGCTCTCCCAACTGAGGTATTTCGGCTTACGAAATACTTCCTGCATTTTATTTTTTTTGGTAACTGTTACATGTGTTTAATGAAATTCAGCCTGAAGTGTTGATCATTGAAGGTGAAGATAGCTGACGGAAGGATCAGTGGGCAGCGAAGCCGGCGAATAGTCTTTCTATTTATATGGTGAACATATTCTATGGCGTTCCCCTTCTGCTATTTTAACCAATCACCGTTATTCAGTGGCAAACCAGTTCTCAATAAATTGGCAAGAGCTTTACAGCTTGCATTTCATTATATATCTTTCCTCTTTTCACAATCAGTGTGCATTTTCACCTTCAACGATCAACACGACAAGTAAAAACTATTGATTTAAATTTTACAGATATATAGAAAATTTAGTGTTATACGAACCAAAGTGGAAAATGCGACGAGCTATAATAACTTGTAATCAAGTGCAGACTGAGGTGATAACAGAAGGCCGTTGGATAGAGGAAAGTCCATTACCTCATTCCAGCAAGCATATGATATTAGTGCTTCCGGGAAATCCGAGTGTTCCACGATTCTATGGGGATTTCATGAAAACGCTCAGTTTGAGATTAACGTCGGACATACCCGTATGGCTCATCGGACACGCTGGACATGCCCAACCGCCAAACAATCTGGACATTGCTATCCCCAGCGACGAAAAATGGACAGAATACTACGGTTTGACAGCACAGATTCAACAAAAGGTAACTGTGTACACATCTTCACACAATTATTTCTCATTACTATTTACTAATATATCATTATATTTGCAGGTGGAATTTATAAAGAAGTATGTTCCAGAGGATGCTCAACTACATCTTATTGGACATTCCATAGGTGCCTGGATGGTGCTCAATTTATTGAAAAACAATGATATCAATAAAAGAATAAAAAAGTGTTATCTTTTATTTCCCGTAATAGAAAATATGGCAGATACTCCTAATGGAAGATTCTTCAATAACTTTGTAAGTTTGTGTATCTTTAACTATAATATTTATTATATATATGTACAGGTAAATTACAAGTATTAATAATTTTTTTTTCTTAGACATTACGTATTGCACCAGTGTTGATCTTTCTATCTTGGATATTCACAACAGTGTTTCCATCATCTCTGCAAGTGTTAATGATACGTATCTTTGGTCTACTTTCTGGCTTTCAAGTTAAATCTGTCACGGCAATACAGGAAATGCTAAATCTAAAAGTCTTTCGCAGAGTAATCTATCTTGGAAAAGATGAAATGAAATGTGTGAGAGAAGTTGATCATGAAATCATATCAAAAAATTCTGACAAACTTTGGTTTTATTATGGTGCTACTGATGGCTGGGCTCCAAAGAAAATCTATGAAAATATGATATCTAAATACCCTAATTTAAATGCTCAATTATGCCAACATGGTTTTCAACATGCTTTTGTGCTAAAAGATAGCGTAGCTATGGGACACATTGTTGGCGATCTCATCAACGAACATTCCAAATATTGATGTTGCATTTCAGATATTAATGCTACATTTCTTGATTGCATCTAATTATATATATATATGTATTGTCATAAAAATGACAATTTAAAATTATTACGTAACAATATAAAAATAATAATGAATGACAGTAAACGGTTAAGTTAAATTAACATGGATATACGGCAATTTATATTTTATATGCATTATATATTATAATGGATAAGTAAAATATCCAAAATTACACAAAAATACTTACATTATTATTATCATTATTTGTATACTCTATTGTTATTTTTGATATGGTTTTAATATGGATTATTGGGTTTTGATATGGGTTATTGTTATAAGAACAAAATAGTATATATAGTATATTACTTATGTTATACAGAAAGTAAAAGATAATAAATTGTTAACAAAAATATCAATACTATTTAATTTTGGCGCCGTCAATGATGTAGCAAGCAAGCAATTTGCACTTGGAGCAATCAGCTGTTAAAACTTATCTCTCTAATTTATTGCAACTTTATTATAGAAGTAATTATCTTATTGTTTATGTAATTTGCCTTCATATTTATTGTTCATTTGTAATGTTGTAATGTTTACAAGATTCGGTAAAATTTTTCTATGCATATTCTATATTCTTTTAATTTTTAAAATGTAATAAGCTAAAAAAATGAAGATAGAGAGAAGGAGAGGGAATTTTTAATAACCACTGGGCAACTCGCTTATTTCGCGCACGCGCATTTATTTTGAACTTTATAGAATCATCGAGAGAAGGCGCCACTGTAAAACACTGTGGCCTATATGTATTCGTGAGTCACGGTTTCTCACAAAGAACGTTTGAATCGACGCATTACAGTAGCACTCGAGAATCGACGAGGACGCTAGTAGCGTCTTCCACAGGCACACGCGACGCCGTGGCGTCGTCGTGACGCTGCACGCGTGTTGCGCGTAGTGTCGAAGGCGTGTGTGCCTTTTGCTTTCGTGTCTCGCAAGTTTCAGGAGACGGTGTGGCAGTAACCGCCTCCTCGCATTCTCCCGCAGTCTCGTTAGCCCGATGCGCTCCTCCTTGCGAGACTATGGCTTCGGTGAAGGTGGCCGTGAGGGTTCGACCCTTCAACAAGAGGTGCGTGTGATATTGTGCGATTGAGCGTAACGAAAGAACTTTTCGTGGTTTTCATTATCGTGCTGTGAAGTGAAACAAAAAGAATTGGCGCTTAGAGCCAGTCGTTGCTCTCACCGTTTGCTCCGACAATTCAGTGTTGGAATGTCCGCAGTGAGATCGTCGCAACGATGAAATTATTCTTTGCGAATAACGCGGGTCTAACAGTGAATTCGGCAAGATGCACACTATAATACACATCAATCCTTCGCAGAGTTTTATATTGAGAATAATACTTTGCTTCAATTATACACATAATTTTTCAAAAATATTTGAGGCGTTATTAGCAAAATATATTTTTCGAAATTGTTTATCATCTGTATACTATTCATATATTTCTATAAATTTCTATATAATTTTTCTCACAATTTAGATAAATGCATTCAAAAATTGGTCATTACATCTATCTAACGTTCTTAAAATAAGTATGAAATATTTAATTAGTTCATTTGTCAAAATTAATTCGAACTGCAAAGGATTGAGGTACACAAAATTCAGGAACAGTAAACGTAGCATATTGAACGTGTTGATTTCTGAAATTCCAAGAATGAGTTCCGCAAACAATGTGTTGGCATACATCTTTTCACATCATTCGTAGACGAGTGCATTTAGGGCGCATCAATGCGCATCGTTGCACCAGCTGAATTCGCCGCGAAGTTAACGGCTTGGTAATGTCTAAAGAATGTTTCAACTTCTCGTTCCTGGGAGCGTCCTTTGATGTATTCTAGATTTTCACGTTGTTTAGATTGCTGTCAATCGATACCCGCATTACGCAATTTTGCGGTCAATAACATCTCTCGTCGACGATGTTGTTTCTCGATCTGTTACGGCGTATCGATCATTGGCAAAAATTATTGTGCAATATATGTATATGGTCAAGTGTTAAGAATGTTGCCGTACGCGTACGCGATACTATAGCACCCAAGTCATCGTCAACAATGGATTAATCATTGTACGGATGATTCGATCTGCCCACTCTTATTCCTTGCACGATCGCTGTCCCTGAAGAATCGAGAATAGAGACAATTGGAATTCAATACGCGAAGCAAAATAATTTTCTGAAACTTCTCTGAGACAATTTTTACTGACAGGAAAGTTTTTGTTTGTAAAAAATGTTCTCATAAATTTTGTCGTATAGTAATTTTCTATTGAAATTTTATTTTAGTTACTTATAAAATTTAAAATACAAGATTGTCAGAAGAACTTGAAGAGCTAATTTTGAACTTTAACTATTTTCAAAACTTTCAATTACGCATTAAAAGAAAAATTGCACGCAAAAATAATCGGCAATATATTATCGGAGACATAAACGTTCACTCATTTCAGAGAACTTTATTACGATAATGTTGAGAAAAGACGTTAGCTTAATCCTTTTCGAAGTAATACTGAATTTAAATAATACACGTGACAATCTTGTCATATCGTCCGTCTGGGAAGATTGATATCATAAAATGTTTTACACTAATAATAATATTATTTTTTGCATTAATAATATCGAATATTTTTTTGCGATTAGCGAGGAGAGAGAATTTTGCAACAATGTTTTTTTCAATTCGAAAACAATCCAATTGAATTCAATTATTTCGTCACCCATACAAAAGTCAGAGAAGTGTCAGTGACACCAAACCACCTCCCTATATTGAATAG